TATCACTACACGAAAGAAATGCCGGGAAAATGCATTTTTTTCAAAATTTATAATTGCAGTTACTCGCTGTTATCTGTTTATTCAAATTTTCAGGTTTGACGGACTTTATTTTTTAATAGATTTATAAATAAAAATATTTTCATATTTATTTCTATATAAATTGCTAAATGTTAAACATTGTATTAGTTGGTTCGCATTTTTAGAATGTTGTAAATATAAAAGTATTCTTGTAAATAATCTAATAAATAAATAGTTTTTAATATTTTTGTTGTAAATTTTCAAGAAGAAAAAATGTATAAATTCACTTTCATTATATGTTTAGGTTTTATTCCAATTCTAATCACCGCTTTTAAAACAATAAACATTGCCGAGGAGTGAAGGTAGTTTAAATAATAGCGGTGTCGTGGAAACAACTGTCCTTATTGTGGGCAAGTTTATCTATGTTTGCCCAATTATCTAACTCACAAACCAGGTGATTCAAAGAAATTATAAACAGTGAGAATCAGCATCATTTAACGTGCTGTAGTCATGGCTCTTCACAACTTCCAGTCCCTTAGAGCTGTAAGCAACGTTTGACTCTTTACCACCCTTCTTTGTACCCGCACTGCCATCCATTCCTGCAAATTCATTAGGTAGGTTACTGACATTTTCCATTTACCCTTCCTTCCTTCCTTCAATTCACCTTGTTAGTATTAAGTTCTCAAGCCGTCCTTCCTCATAATGTGCCGCAGAAATTTAAACAGTTTATTTCTGATTTTTAATATGAGCTTCTCTCTATAGAATAGAAATAGACGATCTCATTAGATAAAGGGAATTCCGAAGGTGGACAGTGGAGGACATGTTACCTCGTCCGGTTTTATATAAACAGTTGAGTGGCCAGGGGCCATGCGTTTTTTTTGTATTTGTATCTCGTTGGTACGAGAATGAAGTAATTCAGAATTGCTACTACCATTGTCGTTGTGCTTATTTTACACTTTCTACTTCCCATTTTTTTTTAGAACTTCCTAGTTGTTCACATGTTCAGTTGATGGTATTTCGATATCATTCTGTTAAAAAGCAACCCCTATTGACACAAGTCTCCTCTTCATCTATAAGGAAATTGACCATCATTCACTGAGGTACAGGACGACTCATCACCGCCGATACAACACCACCGACTCAACACCAGCCAACTCATCTCCGTGATAACTCAACTCCAGGACAACATAGCACCAGCCTACTCAACGAGTGGCAAACTATGATTTTTTTCGTCGACTTTTTTAAAACAAATAAAAGTAATTTATTAAGAATCATATTTTAATAGGTGACTCAATTTCTATTTTAAAAAAAAACAAACTTGTTGAGAATTGTATGCAATTCCATTCAAATATTCGGTTGGAGATCGTTGTGAAAAAGAAGAAACAATCTGCAAAATTCTTTCATCTGCCTTTAATTACTTTTTCAATTTAAGGGGAGAAGGAAGACGTCAAATTAATTGCACGAAAAATGCATCTCGGTTTCTTTGCACCTTTTGCAGCCTCGTAATGAATCTCCATATTGTCGGGTGCTCCATCCCCAGCTTTGTGTGCAATCTTCTATTTGCTACTTCAGCATGGTTATTTGTCCAATCTTGAAAATTAAACACCAGTCAGCCAAATAAGCTGTTGTAACTAATAAATCACTAAGACAAATAGACAAACTTTCAAAATTTCTACAACCCAAAGCCGATCTAACAAATGTGTACACTAAGACAACCAACGCCGATCTAAAGCCAGCGTCGATTTGTTCTTGAGCTGAGTAAGTTGATGCTGATTTGTCCTGGAGTTGAGTAGGTTGATGCTGATTTGTCCTGGAGTTGAGGTGTCACGGAGATCATTCATTTCACCTGACGTGGGAAATTTGTTGTTTAAAAACAGTAATTTGGGATTTGCTAACGAGACGCTTCCTCTGTAGCTAAATAGTATAGCATGTCCGGTCAAATGACGGGTCCGTGTAGGATTCAATTCCTGTCGTAGGACATATTTTCTACGAAATTTCTCGGACATTCAGGCCGGTAAAAGTAATTAATACTGTTTACTATAATCAGAGCATTTACTTAAATAATTGTTGTATCTATAAAAATAGCGTATAAACTGAATATATATATATATATATATATATATATATATATAGCCTTCTTTATCACTTTCACTCCCTCCAACCTCCCGTGTACTAGTGCCATTCCCGTCTTGCTTCGTGTAAAATGATTAATATATCTTCACATCTACATAAAACACACTTATATGTGCGTACATATATAAACATTTGTTTTCCCAAATTATTTCTCTAGTCTCTTTGCCAACTCTCTTTAACCTACCTGGGAACGCCTTTTCAATTATGTCACCATCATTGTTATTAAATTATATTCAAATTTATATGACGGTATTGTTCTATTCTTCGTTTGGGACATGCGAAGGATCGTTTGCCCATTTTCTTTTTTTATCTCGTTCGCTGCTAAGCCAAATCATCACTTTCTCTTCCTGCAAGATTAGCATTTTATTTTATACTCAGTTTATTTTTAAGATTAATTTGGCAATTTTTGGCATGAAATGACAACCGTTAATGACCTGTGCTCACTCACGATCATTTTGCTGTGAAACAACCTATTCCCATTTATCATTACAATAACAATGACAGTTCACCATAGTAGAATAAAATACATTCCCGACTTGTTCTTGATTTTGATTGGTTCCAGAAATGACTCATTTGGCAATCCCTTTTCTTTCTTCACCTACATTTAGGAATGATAACCTTTTGGCCTCTTTTATTTCTTTATTTATTTCTTATCTTTTTGCTTTTATTTCTTTATTTCATCCGCTGTGCCTTTTAGATTTCTTTTCTTTCTTTTTTTTTTTAATTTTTTGATCTTTTTATTGTTTCTCTCACTACAGGCATGCACTCGGATTTTTCCGGGTAAATCCGAGTAACGTAAATTTACCCCCACACCTACTTTACGCCAATGAAAGGTTTTGATTTTGGATGATATTTTTTTTTTAAAGGTTATTCTGGCCCGCTCCCACTTGGAAAATAATTCATAACCAACTTTTTTTTTTACCTTGTTGGGTATGTGCAGAATGAACAAAGGATTTTGTTATAACATTAAAATAAATCAGAAGGAACTTTTTACGTCAGGTTGCGTGATCTTTTCTTGCATCCACAACAATAAAATAATCTTGATATAAACAAGACAAAAACATGCATGCAATTCAAAACCAATAAATGAATTTATATACAAATAAGATAATATGTACAAAATATTTTAGAAGATGTTAATGTGTTGGTATGTTCGTAGTATTTGAAGTTTTTTTGTATGTCCTTTTTTGTGTCTTGCGTATCTGTATTAGTCTTTTAGAAAATTGTAATTAGTGTTTAGAATATCGTTATTATGTTTTTAGAATTGAGTCATCACAAAGTAGTCTACTTTTAACTGTAAATGTTGAGTTCGTTCGATCACTTTAGATAAGTAAAAATCGTTCGGATAGAAGTTTTGATGTTCACAGAGTAATCTTCGAGTCGAGCTTGTGAGTGAGTCAGTTGTGATTTAGTTTGCGCGGGAAAATTATAATTACAAGCGACGTGGATTAGATTAGCATATCTCTTTGGACTGACTGATTTATCGTAGATGATCAAAGAGAATGTAGTTTGAGATTCTTGAATGACGAAGAAGTTCCAGAAGATATTGAACGGGAAAGATTTGTCGTCTCGATTCGCGAGACGGTGAATTGTAGTCGTCACATTTTTAAGCTTGAGTAAGCGGTCGAAAAATGATCTGTCTCTGTATATTTATTGTATCGAAAAATACAATTGTGGCACAAGGCCTGAAAAGGGGAGGGGTTGAGGCTGGTCTTCACTGACTATCCTATGCCTAGCTAATCCGATTCACGACCCATTCACTTGTTACAATTTGCCCATTCACCACAAGAACTCATCCATCACCAATCAATCCTCCATACACCATAATACCACATCCTCACAAGGGGGGACCTACAAAACGCGCCCCATGCCATAAAAATTTAATAATAAATATTACATAAAAATCTCATAATGAAGGATGAGAGGGATGAACCCAATAATAAACTAAAATATTAACATAAGTCAAATTAAACATAACAGATGTTAGTAAGGCCCGTCCAACCCTAAAAAACAAAAAAAACCAAAGAGGCCGCTGTATTCTGCCCATGGGACAAAATCAAGAAGCTCTCTCGCTAAGGGAGCGGGAATAGGATGATAATAATAATTATATATATATATATATATATATATAAAAAAAAAAAAAAAAATCGTACGGGAGAATATAACGCTGACCCAGACGCGATAAAAAGGATCTGCGTGTCACACGTGCTTTGAGTTCTTTTTAAGAGGTCATGATCACGTGGGTGGATCCAAAATAATTTTGCGCCAAAACTTCAAAGTGAACGTGCGAGCAACCTGATTGGTAGAAATGAACCAATCAGAGGGCTAGATTTACGAATGAAAGTTGGAATAGTGCATTACTCGGAGAAGGTAAGATTGGGTTAAGACGAGCCCAATAACATTGTGTCATACGAAAGCGACAAACAAAGTTGTAGGGGTAATTCCTATTTTTAACTATCGCTGGTAGTAATTGTTCGCCCCTAAGATTTCGAAAACTAGTTTTAAAGTAAAGGACCTCTTTAGTTTAAATATTGGCGCAACACTGTACCTTCATATCATTCGATTTTTTTTGGGGGGGGGGTATGTGTGGGATGAATGATCTGTGCCGTGATAAGGTTTTTAAATTTTACCTAATAAAATTACCTTACTTACATAACAGTAACACATTCTACTTACATAACAAATTTTTTTAAACTCTTGTCGACTTGCTCTTAGAGTAATCTCCCTTGACTGACCTTGGCAAAAACGTGAAAGAGAAATCGAGTCGCAGAGGTCTTTTCGTAGTATTTTGATCATTGATTTTCCATGGCTAATTAATTGCTAAAAAACAAAACAATAAGTTTCCAATCATGACTACCTCACACATTCTACATCTGAGACCAACTTTAGCTTTTCGACTTGGGCATTTACCAGTTGTGGGAAGATCGACCAGCAAATATTTCGCTACCCTAACGAAAAAACAGAAAGAGCATTTAGCAGATGGACCAGATCTTGCTGATTTTATACAAGATCCGAACTTAGCCAAATTTCCTCCGAATATTGTAAAAAAGAAAGGTGAAAGGTCAGTAAATTTCGAAGATTTTTTTTAAAAAAAAGTAACAAATTTGTAAATGTTTTTATTGATTAAAAAAAACCTTTTAAAACCAACAACAGAATTTTTTATGTAGTCTTCGAAAGTGTAGCAAAATGAACAAAAAAGTAAACCTTTGTTTACATTTTAAATATTTTCACCGTCTTTACTGAAATTCGGTATCATTTAAAAAAAATAATAAAATTATCTATTAAACAACAATATCTTGTTTTAGTTAACGGACAAAAAATATTTTTTTTTTATTATTTTTATAATAAAAATTATAAGCTAAAAATTTAGTCGGTTTCCTTCCATGCCATCTTCAAAATTGTAGTTTTTTTCTTTATGGTTTCGTTTATTTCCATTATTGAAAAAGTATTTTAAAAAATAATTAGGATTTTACTCAAATTTTCTTTCTATGTGCAATCAATATCCTTTCGTAGGTGATCATGGCTCTCCATAACTTCCTGCTTAGCTTACTGTAATAATTTCATAATCAAGCAAAATAAATTAATAACAATTAAAATCTGAATATCGGAGAAATATACGATACTTTGAAATTGAATCTGTACGATCTTTTCTTTGTACGATATTTTGCATTCATAGTAAATTTAAGTAAATTATATTTTAATTTTCCGTGATTACATTTTTTTTACGTCTTCTTGTGTGTTTTAAAATCACTACGAAGGCCAGTTTTTTAAAAGCCAAATAATTTATATTTATATCAAATTAAAAACAGTACAGGCTGAATTTTGAAAGATCACCGTTAAAAAAAGAAATAGAAAAATAATTCTAAAAAAATCTTTATTTTAATGAAACAAATTGGCAAAATGAAATAAAAAAATGACTTAGTTGTTTTTGTTATATAACAATCATAACAATGTTTTAAAATATAAATTAATAATTAAATATAACTGTATTTGTTACTGTATAAAGAACTTTGCAAAAACAGTGGGGTGATGACCAAAATTTACAACTAAATTACTGCTCGTAAATATTAAATAAAAATGATTAATATTTTTTATTAACCCCCCCCTCCAACTTTTTATAAATTAAAAAATTTCAAGGGAGATAACTCTATTTAGAAAGCGGCATTGTTATTTATTAGAGCGAAATTTACTTTTCGTTGGCATCAAGCTGCTATAAGTTAAAAAAAAAAAAAAGAAGGCTTTCGGTGAGGATCAAACTCAGTACTAAGTTAGTAATAATGGCCAAAACAACTTGCCAACCCTTCGTCATGCCCTACTCTGAATCGTTTAAAACAAAATCTGTTTTCGTAACTATAATTATAATTTTACATGGTTTTTTTTTGTTTGTTTTTTTTTTGAGGTGGAAGAGAAAAAGAAAGTCTAAAACTAAAAATAAAGGTTCGGTTTAAATACCAAAAACAGATTTTGTGTTTGAGTCCGACATTATGACATCGAATATTCAAATCGAATATGGAAATATATTGTTAAAAAAGCTAAAAAACTGCACGCTGGTTTTTAAATTTTAGCTTTTTATTTTATTTTATTTTTTTTATTTATTTATTTATTTTTTTTCGTAAAAAAGGAAAATATTTAGTTTACAATTTAATAATCTCTAGGGATTTTGTAACACCACAAATTGAGTTCCTGCAATCTGTAATCGGACACAAAGAGAACAGTTTGTTGAAGTATTAAATTTCGAATGTAAATAGTTCTCCCCTCAAAAACTTTAAAAGTTAATTTCCCAAAGAAGTAGAGAACAGATTCTTACAAAGCAAAAAAAAAAAAAAAAAAGCATGCGCACCCACTGAGATTTTTGTATTTGAAATATAAATAAAATAAGCCTTTAAAAAAGACATCATTTATTAAAAATAGGAAACTAAATACATTGCAAATATAAGTTTTCCTATTTTGTCTGTTCAATAGGTACACCACCAAAAAAACCAAAAGTTTTTTTTCTAATGATGAGAAAAAGAAAAAAAATTAACTACCTGTTTTTAAAAAATTGCCAAAAATCAGGAAATTATCACATTTATGGTTTCATTTAAACAAATTTTTTACTACTTCCACATTTTTTAAATGTATGAATTAATTTTATACTGAATGTTTATTATTTATTGTTAATAAATTGATGGAAATATTTTTGGGGGTAATCAGTTTCACTCTAATTTCGATATGTCTTGTACTTGTTTCCTTTTTTTAATTTGGTGAGTGCTTGTGAATTTTATTTTATTTTATGCAGAAATCCCTAAAGTGTGAACATATTTTAAAATTCGCCTTGAATCCTACCAAAAGTAATTCAATAAAAATAAAACTGCGAAAACAATTTTTGTTGCCAATTGGCGTTTCTTGCATAAAACTAAAACACATTCCTTTCAAATTTACTAATAAACATTTTTATTCTTAAGAAAATTACTTAATTTTTCAATACGATTTTAAAATTCATCCTGTTAATGTTCTGTTTGTTACAAGAATTTTATTTTTATAATTATTAAAAAAAAATTTAAATGCCATTATTTTCGGGTTTGAAGATTGTGTAACATTTTTTCATTTTTTTTAGTTACATTATTTTTTATTTTATTTTTTTTTTTTTTGTATGGAAGTTAATTTTGTGAGTCCAGTCAATTAACTGTATCAATTCAATAAGCCCCATATCAAATTTTCCCTTTTCTTTTTTTCCTTCAGTTTAATAAATTCTATAATCAGAATGGCTACTGCTCTGATGAGCTTTTTTTCCCCCTCGTAACTATATGAATTTTTCAAGTATGAGATTGGCACCTGGGTCGCATCCATTTACTGTTGAAATAAATAAAAATGTAACTGTTACTTCTATTCCAACAGTTTCTTTCCTCGTATTTCCCAACATTGGAACTCCCTTCCTCTCACTTGCTTCTCTTATAAAAATTTAAATGCAACATCAATCACCATCTTATGTTGTGTTGATCCCTGTCCTCCCCCCCTACACCCACTCTTTTCTCTCACTTTCATTTTCCGTAAACCCTTTGTGTGCTAGTGACACTGCCTGCCTTGCTTGGGGTGAAATGCTTAAAAAAAATTAAATAAAATTGAAAAAGACTTCATTGGATGCAGCTAAATATTTTATGGCATCAAAAGAAAATAATTAAAAAGTAAATCATTTTTTTTTTTTCACTTCTAATGTAAGATAAAAAAATTAAAATGAATTCTACTCAGTTTAATAAAAGAGTATAGAATAAAATATAGATTCTTAAACTATTGGTCATATAAGTTTAAAGATTTTTTTATTTTTAATCTTAAACAATACCAATTTCTAGATTGTAGAATTCTTGATCCATAGTTCGTTTTAAGATTTTATATGCACCTTTGGGTGACAAAGAAAACTACACACCATTTGGAGATAGCAGTAGAAGACTACTGTTTCTGACCTATAAGTCATCAAACTCATGGGCTACTATGCATAAATAAATCTTATTTACACAATAAGTAAGCGTTATTTTCCTTTTTAAAAAATCCAGTTAACCTATAAAATTATTCTGAAAAAGATCTCAAGGGCAGATTTAAATTAAGAGATTTTCAAATTTACTGTTTTCATTTTCTGTATATGATGAAGGTCCTTTGATAAGTGATGTGTGGTTGTCGTAATGTTTAAAAAAATATTCTCAAACTTTACTTACATAATCTTTTTTTTTTTTTTTTTTTTTTTTTTAATGATTAGGTTTATCTTTGAAATAAAACCAAAATTTAACTTCAAAAAAGAAGACATTTAAATTATTTAAAATGCATTAAAGAATTAAAATTGTCATTGTTGTATCTCCTACATCAATGTCTGCCTGTCTTTAGGCAACAATCCTTCTTTTATACAAATTTTATCAAAGATGACTGATAAAGTACTGTGATTAAACTTTTTATTTAATTCTTCCTGTGTTCGTATAAGTGTTTTCTTTTCTGGACATGAAGTGTATAAAAATTGCCCAAATGTTCTGTATATCTGAGTGCTTTTGGCTATTCCTTTAGCCATTATCAAGAATATTTTTATACCTATTTTTTAACTGAATGTATGGATTTTTTATGGATGTATCTAGAGTTATAGGGATTTTTTTGCCAAACACAGTTTTTTTGTGGTTGTGTTCATAACTGATGCTATTGAATGCTGGATTCTTTTTTTTTATTATTCTTACTGCTTCCATTGTTTTTAGCCTTTTTTTTCATGTGGATGAGGTTATTATACTTGTATTTGCTACAAGTATGTTGTGGATAGAGTTTGGTAGGTTTCCATGTGTGTTTAAATGAATCCTAATTGAACTAATATATATATATATATATATATATATATATATATATATATATATATATATAATGGATTTTCCATTAACCAATCTGACATATTTTAATTTATTGCTTAAACGTTATTTTTAATGGCTACCCATATTTGTGTATATGCTATGTTTTTATTTATAAAATATGTACTTTTCAACATATTTTTCTAATACGATTTCTCAAATATTGAGGCCAGTAGATGGAAATAAATATATTGTTTAATAAATAAATAAAAACAGAGCATCTGCACAAATTAAAATAAGCTGGATTAGTTAATGAAAATTTTTTTTTTACAATAATTTTTATAACTTGGAAATAAATTTGGGAATAATCAAAATTAATTTTTAAATCCAGCAACAGTTACCCATGAAATAGAAATAATTGTTTGTATTAAAGTAAGGACCTACGCACATCAAACTGTCTTTGAGTGGCGGCTGAAGAATTATCATTGAACTTTTAAAAGATAAGCTTAAATATTAATGCAATGCTTAAATGCAGTGATCAATTTTGAGTTCTTCTGTAGTTTATTGTTGCCTACTGCATCTGGTCCTTCCTACTGATATGGCAGCTTTTAAGCTAGTATATACACACACACACACACACACACACGTGTGTGTACATGTATACTAGCTTAAAAGCTGTCATATCAGTATGATATTTGAAAATTATATTTCTGGAACATTGACAACAGGAGTGAATTGATACTTCCTGACTTAAACACTGATATCGTATTGCTGGGCAGAGGGTTCCCTGAGTAAAATCAACATCTGCTATTATACACACTCACTCTCACACACACGCACACACACACACACACACTTAAAAGCTACCATATTGGTAGGTAGGACAAGATGTGATAGGCAACAATAAACTACAGAAGAACTCAAAATTGATCACTATATTTAAATATTGCATTAATATTTAAGTTTCCCCATATGAAGTAATTTTGGATTTTATTGTGTACTAATTATTTGCTCTGTTATAATAGCTACATTGAGCTCTTTTTGTGGATCAGTTTTAATAATTTATATTACTAGGATCTACTTGGATTATATACCAATGGATTTATTACCTTTATTTATATATATATATATATATATATATATATATATATATATATATATATATATATATATGGCTCCAAACTTTCTCTTACGAAGAATAACACTCTATGGACCCCACCAAGTGGACGTAACCAACACTTGGATCAATATGCCCACAAAGCCAGACAACTCATGGATAACTTCTTAAAAAACAAAGGACACCAGATAAAAAAATACAACTTATCCAAAATAGAACACCAAGCCATCTATACTCTTGAAAACAACCAGCCGACAAGGGCGAAGCTATAACCATCTTAGACACTAACAACTATATTAAAGAAGCGGAATCACAACTTCAAAATAACAGATTCTATGTACCCTTACCTCTAGACCCAACTAGCACATTCAAAACAGAATTATTACTTCTCACTCAGAACTTGAACCACAACATAAAAAAATACCATAAAATCTCTTATTCCTGAGAACCCTAAAACAGCAACATTCTACACTATCCCAAAACTATATAAACTCCCCAAAATCCTTTCAGAAAAACTCCCTAACACTTTTTCATCCAACCCACATTAAATTACGCAATTAAATAATGAAGAGAATATCTATGAAATTTCAAAATCCCTTAAAATCATACCACCTGGTAGACCCATAATATTTGGCATTGGTACCCTCACAGAACTTATATCTGGGTACATAGACAATATCTTAAAACCTTTATTGCCTGACATACCTAGATATATTAGAGACACTACTGACTTTCTCAACAAATTACAAAACATTAACATAGTCCACCATGATACAATCCTAGTAACGATGGATGTTTCGTCCCTTTACACGAACATTCCACATGTTGAAGGAGTATCAGCTTGCTATGAGTTCCTTAGTAACAAAAAATTACCTAACTACCAAATTACAGATATATGCTAATTAATAAATTTCATTTTAACATATAATAAATTCAACAACAAACACTATTTACACATTAGTGGCACAGCAATGGGCACGAAAACGGCACCTAGTTATGCTAATATCTTTATGCACATTCTAGAAAAGAAGATACTAGACAATTCAGAATTTAAACCATTACATTATTTCAGATATATTGATGACATTTTCTTATTATGGACTCATGGATCGGAAAAATTAAAAAAACTTTTTTACTTTCTGCAAGAACTTCCACAATACAATTAAATTTACCATGGAGCACTCATACACATCCGTCCCTTTCTTAGACGTTATGATAAAATTAAACAAACATACACTTTCTACCAGTCTATACAACAAACCCACAAACCAACATACATTCCTGCACTTTAACAGCTGTCATCCCCTTAAATTAAAAAAATCTATTGTATACAGCTCATTTCTAAGAATCAAACGCATATGCTCAGACCATCTAGGTTTTCTATACAACATTAATAACTTAACAAAACAATTCCTAAGATGTAAATACCCAATAAAAATAATAAAAGAAGTGCTAAATAAAACTATCCACATAAATCGTAACACACTTCTCACATACAAGAAACGTAAAAACAACAATCGGATTCCCATAGTTTTTAACCACAATCCATATTCCCACACACTTATTCACAATTTAAAAAAGGATTACAAGAACCTCCAGTTAGACAAAAAGATCAAAGACATTTTCAATAAACCACCCATAAATGCAAAGAAACAATCACCTAACCTATCAGCTATCCTCACTTTTACCAAATATCTAAACAATACAAACCAATCAGGAAATTACAAATGTAACAAACCTCGTTGCTTAGTTTGCAAACACGTAATAATAGATAATGTATTTTCTGTACCCAACACCAATATCAAGATACACCCACCTCGCCTCACCTGTGATAGTCATAACATAATCTACTATTTATTCTGCACCATATGTCCCAATAGTGGATATATTGGTGAATCTGGAAATAATTTTAGATTTCGCTTCAACGATCATAAACAAACCATACATCAAAACAATCCTTATTCCCCCATAGCTGAACATTTTAATCAATCAGGACACTCATTAGAAAACTGTAAATGTTTATTGATAGATTCTGATTTCAGTTCCACATACACATGCAAAAAAAAAAAAAAGAAAAATACTGGATTTTAAGATTAAATACATATAAACTAGGGTTAAATAAAAACTTGGGTATTTTAAATCTTTATAAATATTTCAATAGTTAAACATTTTTTTAGATATAGTTAAAAAATTTTTTTATTTTTTTTTTTAACCAACATCTAAAATATTATTACAGTTAGATTTACGTTAAAAATATTCGAACACAGTGGTGTTCTATATCATGTGACCTCCGCATCTCGTGAGGGACGCTACTTGTAAACAAACCTCTAAAAACAGTTATTTCTGAAGAAAGATTGAGGTCGATCTGAAATATCAAATATAAATAAATACTTTCATAAAAAAAAAATATTTTTTTAATTTGCAATTTTTTATATATATATATAATATGAAATATATTAATGGTAATACTCATTTTGAAAAACCTCGGTTAGCTCAACTTGTAATATAACAAATTGATGTCCGAGGAAAAATTGGAAATAAAAAAAGAGAAAAAACCAAGAACATAACACTGTACGAATCCTCTTGTCAAGTGCTTGAACTCCAAGTCCAAAGAAAAAAAAACCCAAATGAATAAAAGACTAGTTATATATATATATAGTTTTAAGGTGTGCTAAATGACTGTGTGGTTACAGTGTTACACTGAGCACCTGACCAGTTCTTTTTGGTTTGAAAGCTCAAGAAGTATTCATTTGTGTTTAGTGCGTCTTGAGTAAGTAGACTTAGCAGAGACAATCCCTGTGGAGGTTAAATTGCAACTGATCACCTCCAAATTGAAGGCCATTGATTCCACTCAGGGTACTCTCTGTTCTCGCTGTTGGCTTCAGTCATGGAAGCCCTCCGCCCAACGATGCCATATCAGTGTTTATGTCAGGAAGTCTCAATTCATGCCTTGTTGTCAATGTTCCAGAAATATAATTTTCAGGGTCACCTGGGTGATGGTTTGTTTTCCCCTCTGCAACTAGTTTCCCGCAGATGCAGTGTTGCAAACCTGTTGCCACTTGTTACTTATCTGCTGAATTACTTTTTATTTTTTTTACAATTTTCTCTTTTAAACTTTCAGATTGCGTCTACCTCGTTGGCTGAAAACGGAAATTCCTCTTGGCAAAAGCTACACCAATATCAAGTCTCAGCTTCGGAATTTGGAGTTGCACACTGTTTGTGAAGAAGCCAAGTGTCCAAATATTGGAGAATGTTGGGGAGGAGAGAAAGGAACTGCTACAGCCACAATCATGGTCCTTGGGGATACATGTACAAGAGGTAAGCCCTCAAAGATATTTACAAAGCTTTTGGCACAAGAACATGTTCACAAAAAGCAAAAGATCAAGTCAAACGACATCTGATGCTCTCCTCTAGCTTGAAGGGCTCACTTTACTCATTATACATGGTCAATGATTCCATTAAGGGAACTCTTCGATCTGGCTGTTGACTTCAGTCTAGGCAGCCCTTTCTGCAGCAATGCTATGTCAATGTTTAAGTTAGAAAGTTTCAATTCACACCTGTCATTTACATGGTCATGTGAGTGATGGTTTCTTTTCTACTCTACAACCACTTCCCCATCAGTGAAACGTTGCAAGCCAGTTGTTACTCTATTGCTACTTCCATTACAAATGTGCAGATGGGTCCCAGTCTCTAGTCTAATCAGTTTTTAACATCTGTGGGCCCAACAATTCATTTTTAGAACTGAATTGCCAGATTACCCACACAGTTGATTATAGTGGTTAAGGCATGTGTTAAGCAACATTGAGCCTGGTCACTACTAGGTGGGTGACGCATGGGAATACCAAGTATTGTAAACTTGGATGTGCAAGTGGTGTAATGGATAATGATTTGACAAGGCTTACAGCCATATCACATTGAAACACCAGTTCTTGTACAATCACTAAAGTTAAGCAACGTTGAGCCTGGTCAGCACCTAGATGGGTGACCATTTGAGAATACCAGGTGCTGTAAGCTTGGATATAAGGTTGGTGTAATGGATAATGGCTCAGATTTATTAATCGGATAGCTGAATTCCAATTCCAATTGCATTCCTTATATCTGCTTAAGTACAAATACCTTTTGGCAAAGATATAAATCCACCTTTTCTCCCCTAGCTTGTATCAATAAAACATTATTATTGCCTAAACAAATTCTTACAATCTAAAAATAAAATATACTCTGGTTTTAAATAATCTGCAAAGGCTTTATTTTCTTAATTGATGGTCATCCTATATGATGCCTGAGAGCCACTCAAGGTAGAAGGTTACAGAGTAAGAGGCACAGCTTATGCAGATATGTGTGGAAGATAACGGTTAACTTTAGACTTGAACAGGTTAAGATTGTAGTGATTGAGGAAGCAATCTTTTGGGGGTTGATTCCATGTAGCAGTGGTTTGTAGGAATCAGCAGTTGATAAACCGTAGAAAATGAATGAATGAATCAAGTCAAAAAAAAAAGTCCTCGGTGCTTTTTCTTCTAGACTGGTTTCCAACCAAGATCAGTTAACTCCATCTACTATACTAGAAAATATGGATTCATGCCAGGTGCAGAATCAGTTTGAGGTGAACAAAACACAATTAACTGGAATTTGAACTCAGTTTGGAGATTCCAGGAGTATCCAGTATATACACCTGCGCACACACATGCGCACACACACACACGCACACACACTGTTGCCATATCTGATCAGGTGCTCCTGCTATTCATCTTGAGGTTCTTGGCAAGATCTAAAGAAGGATCTGCAAGTTAATCATTCCTGACTTGGCATCTCAACTTCAGTCACTTTCTCACCAATGTAACATGGCTTCCCTCTTTTCTACAAATGTCTTTATGCTAACTGGTCTAATGCGCTTTTCCCAGGACTCCATGAGTTTAAGCATGCTATTGGCATCTAGGTCTCCACCGTTTATTTCTACTAAAACAGTTTCCTTTCTCGCACTTCCTGCCTGTGGAATTCCCTTCCATTTCCTTGCTTCCCTGATAATGACAGTCTTCAAAAATTTAAATGCAACATCAATTGCCATCTTCTATCTTCGTGAAAACTCCATTCAGCTTTTATCCTTTCCCCAGTCCCCCTTATACCCAATCTTTTCTCTCACCTACACTCTCTGTACCCTGCCCCCTGCATACTAGTGGCATTCCTGCCTTGCTTGGGGTGAAATGATTAAAAAAAAAATTGTAAGAAATTTAGCCAACATTTCAGCACAGTCCCCCACCCGCCACCTGGGTTAAAAATTAGTCATCCAAATAAGTACAAGTTCTTTGTCATTTAATCTGAGGGTAGGTAGCAGTACTGGATTATTCCTGTCTCGGTATTTCAATTCTTCTGAATGAGTTGGATGATAAGAATGAGAGAGGAGGTGGTAGGAAGTGAAGATTATGAGGATAAGAAAGATAGATAACAACTGACCTTGTTTCATGGTTGGGGAAGGGGGAGAAAAAATGAAGAAAAACATTTGCTTGTAAAGTTGGAATTAGGTGTTGTTTATGCCTAGATGAAAAGTTATTCATTATAGAATTTGACACTGATAACGTGTTATGTGAGCAGCGATCCACGCATATTGACCTTGGTTCAAAGGAGAGGACGAATTATCTCCCTTGTACCGGTTGACATTGTCTTAGTTTTTATTCCAATACAGAGCAACCTCAGTTCTCTAACAACTCACATGTTGAACAAATTGGTTTTTGAAGGAAATATTTGAGATAAAAATGCTTCGATTATCAAACAAATTTTCTGTTCTTGAATAACATTGCCAAACCAAGTTAACCTGAATAGAATCATTTCTTGGTTGACAGCTGTGTTGTATACATTTATGTATTGTGCTGTGCTTTTCTTTTCCAATTTTATTGTATTGAGCCTTTTTTTTCACTTCATTAGTCCTCAGTCATGTCTCCAAAGAAAGCTAGTAATGATACTGGTAAAGGAAAAAGAAAACATTATTCGGACATTTATCTTCATCTTTGTCGCAATATTTATTACAACATTCCGGCCGTTGTATGCTCTGGCCTTCTTCAGGTTATTGGAATGTCGAACTGAACCCTTTATTTCGCTCACTGGGGTAGACTGTTCTTGTTCCATGTGCCATGTTTAATGTCTCTTTCTTTTTTTATCTCAGCCCAACTACTCCAGCCTTACAAAGTCACCAAAATTAATTTTTTTATACTAAAGTTTACCCAATACAAGGCTCAAGAGTCACTCACGGTAGAGGCTGGCTGAATGATATGAATGTAACAGGAGGTAGAAAGAAGTGAAGATTATGAGGATAAGGAGAATATATAGCGACTGACCTTTGGCTTGCATCCATATGGGAGTTTGTTACACAAATTAGCAGCTCTTGGGGTGGGAGGATCTGCGTGAATGAAACTTCCTTCTTAAAAATGGAATATAGAGGAGATGTAAGTGATTCGATTCCAAGGTAAGTAGCATAGTAATTCCTAGCTGTAAATGTCTGAACTGATGGAACTATGGAATGTAGCTCATCAGAACATTTGCCATGGAAATAGTGAAAGAGTAGCAACAATGTGTCGGGGTGGGGTGGTGTGTTGGAAAGCTTACACAATAGAAGACAAATCTTCCTTCCCACAAGACCATATAAACTATTTTGAAATCTATCAAGGCTCAAAAGTAAAGATTGAACAGTTCCAGACCAGATATAGCAACAGTATTCTACTTTTGATTTAATTTATCTTGTAAAGATAAAGAAAGGCAAAAGGAGTTGAATGCTTCCCAGAATGGTAGAACGAGCTGACTATCTTTTCAGATTCTTTAGCAATGGATTGTATAGATGTGTTCCACTTGAGTTTCAACAGATGTTCAAAGCTTAGAGCTTTATTGAGAATGCAACCGTTCATTGTGATAAGAAAAAGCCCAGAATCCGATTGATGAACATGAAATATTATGGGGTAACTACTGTTTAGTGAGCATGCTTAATAAAGCAGTAGTTATTTAAAATCAAGATTTTTGGATTTTTCTTTTTTTTTTTACCAAAACAAATTATGATCTGATTATTAGATATTTTTATTATTATTTTTTTTATTTTTGTGCAAAACCATTTTTTTTTTTTTTTTTTTTTTTTTTTTTTTTTTAATCATTTCACCTGAAGCAAGGCAGTAAAACCACTAAGACATAAGGGAAAAAGAGAATCTGTCTATATTTCTGAGATGAGGTATTATGTACACTATTTACATTATTTGAACTATTGTCCTCATCTTTGTCACCATATTCATTACAACATTTCGGCCATTGTACACTCCGGCCTTCTTCAGGTGGTTGGAATGTCGAACTGAACCCTTTATTTTGCTCACTGGGGTAGACTGTTCTAGTTCCACGTGCCATGTCTAATGGATGTCAGTTATTAGTTATCTCCTGTTAATTCCACTCTCCAAGTTTTCCACTGCCTTAACTGGGTATTGAACTCACACTTTTTGGGTCCTGTCACTGGGTCTAACAAACACCTTTATCCACTGTGCCATATGTCCTCAAGGACACCCCAGTTTGCAAAATAAAGTGTTCTGTTCGACATTCCAACCACCTGAAGAAGGCCAGAACATACAATGGCCGAAATGTTGTAATAAATATGGCAACAAAGATGAGGCCAATAGTCTGAATAATGTAAAAAAAAAAAAAGAAGAGAAATATTGTTAAAGAGCACAATCAATAGAAATTTTGAAGCTCAAAGTTGTCTAGAAAGCATGGAACCAGAAGCAAGAAGTCTGAGAAAAGAAACTTAGAATAGAAGATATGGTTATATTTAACCAAGACAACAGTATATTGATGAGTAGATGAATATATAACTGCCTTGGCTGCAGTTTGAACTTTGATTACTGAGCCCATTTTCCATGCTGATAACCAGTGCTATGTACACATTTATATTTTATTTCCTGGCAGTTTTTTTTTATTTTCTGTTTTGGCAACTATTTTCTTTCTCATCTCAGCTGTTACCAAATTTTTCTCATTTTTTTCTTTTTATTAATTTTATTTTCCAGGTTGCCGTTTCTGTTCAGTAAAAACTGCACGCTACCCTCCTCCACCCGATCCTGAGGAACCTACAAAAACCGCTAAAGCCATTGCATCCTGGAATCTCGACTACATTGTCATGACTTCAGTTGACCGAGACGACCTGCCTGATGGAGGGGCAGCCCATTTTGCAAAGACTGTACAGCAGGTAAAGAAAGAAAAGCCCTCCATCTTGGTCGAGTGTCTCACTCCAGATTTCCGGGGTGACTTGCAGGCAGTTGAAGTTGTGGCTAGGTCAGGTCTGGATGTTTATGCCCACAATGTGGAAACGGTGCAGGAATTCCAGTGGCTGGTCCGTGATCCCCGGGCCAATTATAATCAATCCCTTTCTGTCTTGGAACATGCAAAAAAATGCAGTCCAAACCTAGTGACAAAAACATCAATCATGTTAGGATTCGGGGAGACTGATGACCAGATCCTAAAAACTATGAAAGACTTGCGAGATATTGATGTGGACTGTTTGACTCTTGGTCAGTATATGCAACCGACCAAACGTCATATACGTGTGCAGGAATATGTTCACCCCGACAAATTTAAATACTGGCAAGAGGTTGGGGACAAACTGGGTTTTGCATACACTGCCAGTGGGCCTTTGGTACGTTCTTCCTACAAGGCTGGCGAATTTTTCTTGAAGAACTTGGTAAAGAAAAAAACAGAATCTGCCTAAATAGAAGTGTGAAAATCATTTATTTGGCTTTAGGAAATAAATTAAAAAAAATTTTATTTATTTATTTATTTATTTTTTTGCTCTTTTTGTTTTTTTTTGCTTTTATTGTTTATTTATTTACTAGTGTCTATCAGAAGTATCATGGCTTGGCTTCACCAAACAAAGATCACGAGGGAGTCTGTACATGTCGCTTGTAGGCATGTTTGTGACTGATAAGTCCAGTGTGGGACAGGCATGCTTGGTCGCAGTAGTTGCAGTTAATAGTCTGGCCTGGGCTCAATGGCATAGCATTGTAGTACTTTCTCCTCTGCCTCTTGTCCCTGAGAGTGGCCTTGCAGGTATTTTCAAAGGAGACAGCATATCAGAAGTATAATTACATGCTAAACGAGTAGATATGACTGCTTGGGGTAGCAAGGCCTCTGATCACAAGATTCTGAGGAGCATGGAACCACCTCTTAATTGCTAGGTTCACCTTGACTCTGGGGTACTATCACCAGTTAGGGTCCCAGCTATGGGCAAATAGTTAACCCTGAAACTGGTGTCAAAAAAAGTATAAATCTTTTATAGTAAAAATACTAGTAATGCATTTTCATAGTAAAAAATTACCAGCAATACATTTTTTTTTTTTTTTTTTTTTTTTTTTCAAATAAACTACTGCTATTTGCTACTACTATACAGTAAACAGGCTTGGATGATAAAGAATGATGACATTTATTTTTTACTGCTTGTCAACCCCTTGCAGGTTATATAAAAGCAGAAAATATTTTTAGATTCTAAGAATTCTTTTTTTTTTTTTTATTGTTTTTTTTTTATATTTTTTTTTTAAAGATAATAATGATTTACTAATACAAATGCTACTAATTAATGGATTCATACTTCTCCTGAGTGTATTTGCATAAATGAATATAGCAAACCTGACTGGAATCGGAACTTGGCTCTCAGATTTCCAATTCCAACCTGTTATCCATTACACCACCTGCACAGCCAAGCTTACAGCACAAGGTATTCCCAAGTGGTCACCCATCTAATTATTGACTTGACTCAACACTGCTGTGATTATACAAGAGCTGGTGTTTCAATGTGATATAACTGTAAGGTGAAAGAATGATGAATTTGGGAAAGGCTTTTTGGTTGGTATGAGAACTTTTCAGCCCCTCATTATTATTGCTTTTTTTTTCTTTTTCTTTTAATGAAATTCACCCTATGCAAGGCAGTAAAGCCAGAAAGGGTTACTGAGTGAAATAATTAGAAAACAGAAGCATTATTAAAAAACAAGAACAATAGAAGAGTAATCAGAAAGACAGTAGATAACGACTGACATTGCCTTTGAATTATTGAAAATCAAAATTGACTGGAAAGCATGTGTTGTTATTATATTGGTGTCGTACATTGATGTAATCAGTGGAAATTTTATTTTTGAAAGCTCGTGTCAAAATAACTCAGGGTCTTTTCAGACTCCTTGCAGAGTAAATAATGTCCATTTACTGGAGGTTTGCAATCTTGTTCTTCATTTCAAATTTTTCGAAGAACTCTTTCAAGTTTCTTGTTGGTGTTCCAAGTGCACCCATTACTACAACAATTTCTTCAACACTCGTGTTCCATAGCTACTTCAACTCGTTAACCAGATCCTTGTATTTTTCAACTTTTTCGGGGTTCATTTTTTTTATCTCTAATTTATATTAACCTATTATAATTGTGCTTGTCCCTCCCTCCTGCTAGTTCACGTAACCGTTAAGTCCCGACAATACCTCATTAATAATGGACTATTCTGTTTTCATTGCTTGAGAAGCCAAAACTAATCAAAGCTGCTACTTGTTTTCACTCAGAAAATGAGAAAGAAGGCAACATAGAAGTGTTTAATGTCACTTTTAGTGAAATGGAAAAGTTGTCAATTTCAAAACTTTTCATTTGTACCCCCTTACTTCTTTAAATAATGACCAGCATTCATTTTTATGATTTTTATTGCAATATTTTGCTAAAGTTGTTAAGCTTAAATATTTAACGATGTAATAAGGCTATTTCTACTGATATTTTGTTGTTGTAGAACTTGCCATGAGCTTATTCAATCATTAACTTAAGAATTAAGGTTCATCTGAATATTCAAATAGGAAAACTGAAATTTTCATGGATTAAAACTAGTTATTAATCTTGTTCTCTATTAGTTTATCTTTGATCTTATTTTTGTTGCTTTTTTTTTATATAATACTCGGATCATTTTTACATTCTCCAGCATTATTTCTACTCAAATAAAGAAGTCACATCAGAAGCTGCTCCTTTGTTTGTTATCTGTGCTGATTGCTTCACAGTTTTAAAATGTAAAAATAACTACAATAAAAACAGCAAACAAATTAAGATGAAAAAAAAATGGAAATGTTTCATCTAAAGAAATTACATCAAAGACTATTATATCTGCTACTACTAGATGGTAGACATGTATTTATGGCTTTGAGGAAATGGATGAGAAAGAATTTAGCTATATGACGAGATTTAAACTTGCCGTAACTGTAAGGCATCATTCTTGTCAGACAGGGTCCTAATGACATGTAATGTGAGTTCAACTCTCATCTGTAACTATTATTTCATTTTTAATCCATATTGTTTATTTAAAACTGACTCGAGTACTGTGATAAAAGGCAACAAAAATACGATGAAAGATAAACTAGCCCAAATTAATAAGGAAAAAGCTTCATCTAAGAAATGTAGCCTCTAATTTATTACACAGAAAAAGAAAGAAAATATATTAGCCAACATGAAAGTGTTTTACTCAATGTAGCAGAAAGAAATGATTAGTAAACTAGATGCTGATTCTCAGGAAGGCCTTGTGTCTTGATGAGCACCCACTGGGCCTTAAACTCAACTCGGACTTCAAGTAGAACTTGTACATACAATCCATCACTGAAGATGCTGGAAAAGCTCTCTTTAGCACTCCAGTAAGTACCAGATTCTAACCTTTATCTTTCCAAAAGCCAGATCAAGCCCAATATGGAGTACTATTGTCATATATGGACAAGGGCTGCCCAGTCTTCACTCTTCAGTCTTGAAAAGCATCCTTGTGGGTGACAAATTATTTTCCACCCTACAACCTCATAGATGTGACGTAGCAAGCCTCTCGCTGCTCTATCGCTATTTTCATGGAAAACATTCAGACAAACTAGATTTCTTAGTTCTATCAGTTCTAACCTTCATGGCTAAGACCTGCAGTGCCACGTTCATTGTAGTGAACCACCCTCATTCCCTTCATCATCGATTAGTGAAATGTAAGTTCCACTTGAACAACTTCTTACGAACGGCTGCTTTGTAGAACTGACTCCCACGAGGATGCTTTCCCAATTACTAAAATCTTAACGTTCAAGGCTAGGGTTAACCGTTATCTTCCTCACATATCCACATAAACTGTGCCTCTTGCTCTGTAACCCTCTACCTCGAGTGGCTCCCAGGTCTTTTGTGTGTGTATATATATATATATATATATATATATATATATATATTAATCTTATGCAGTGTTACATTAGAACATGCACATATCCACTACAAAATTGTACATTTTTGTTTCAATGTCGAAAAAGGGAAAACCTATTTAAAACCTCTCATCAGGTGGGGAATCACAGTGTTAGTAAAAAAATTTTATTCAGAAATACAGTTATTGAAGAAAATATCCCCCCGCCATTTCCATTCTCCTACACTTTGATATAGATATATATATATATTTTTTTTTATTTAATTAGCTTAAAAGTTGCCCTATTGGGTGGCATTTAAGCTAGCTCCTATGGAGGGCTCTTGATTGTACCTTTGTCATAATAGGTAGGCAACAATAAACTATGGAACTCAAAATTGATCGCTGCATTTAAGTATTGCATTAATATATAAGCTTAACTTAAATTTAATGATAATTCTTCTGCCGCCACTTAATTTAAAGACAATTTGATGTATGTGGGACCTTACTTTCTGTACAAACAATTATTTTTATTTCATGGGTGACTTTTGCTGAATTTCGCAATTAATTTTGATTATTCACAAATTTATTTCCAAGTTATAAAAAATGTTATTGTACAAATAATTTGTTGCAAAAATCACATTAAAAAAAGTCATTGCAAATAAATGCAGTAATGAAAATTTGGGAATAAAAAATTTCAGGAATGTTTTTGAGTCGACTTTATTCCAAAATGGCATATGTTGGGCTACAGCCTCTAGGAGTAAAGGTGAAAAAATGTGACACACTAACATTCGCATTTATTATATATATATATATATATATATATATATACTTTTATCCCATCACCATGTTTTAATCATTCTTTTATCTTAGGAATTCTGAGAAGCCTTTCCTTCATTTTTGTTTTTCTGCTTACTATCTGAAAAAGAAATTCCTGGGACACACTGAGGAAAGCATGCTTGGAGAATTTGGCACCTTCAAGGCATATTGAAAACAAGATGGGCAGAGTAACAGCATCAGGTAACATATCTGGCATGCTCTTGTACATGACTGGCAGAACAGGGTGTGGGAGGAATATTAAAGGCAACTTAATAAAAACATTGCTTAGAGCCACAAAGAATAGGAACTTGTGGAGAGCCATGATCATCCATGTCCTGAAGCATGTTGGATGTAAACATTTGTAGTTCTTAATGCATTCTATTGATTTCCTTGTACTATAATTTTTTGCACTATTGTTCAGCCAATACAAAGCCCAAGAGCCATTCAAGATAGTTTTATTGAATGAGGTTATTTTATGGGCATAAGAATTGTAGATTTAATCCACAGACGAGTATGTGTAAGTACCCCCCTTATTGATGTCCAAATTATCTCAATGTGACACAACCAGATCTCAAAATGCTAGAACACATTCCGGATAGATCGTGTATTTTTTTAGTTTTATTATTTTCAGTTTTGACCAGTCAGTTCTCCTACATTCTTCAGGTGAACATAACAGTTGAAAATAAGTCATATTTGTTTATAACATTCATGTTGCAGCATAAATATTTCTTTATTTTTATTCATTTTT